TAAATCTATTGTTCAGACACCTGCTGTAACTAAATGAAAAAGAACATCTGCAATAGTTATTTAGCGGTCAATAACAAGAAACAGCAGGAACTAGTGACTGGTAGACTCACTCGCAACACAACGCAGCTAAAATAAAAGATATGCAAATGGAAGAAGGGCTGCTTCTTCAACCGTGCCCACTAACCTCTTTTACACCTTCAAACAGAATGTCCAGTTGGGTTGATTTTATTTCAGCATATCTTGTAATATTGAAATATACCATTATTTGATTGATTGATAAATAATAATTTATTGGCTAGTTAGAGAAATGATAACGTCACTTCATAAGAACTGGGAAAACTTGATTCAAATCCCTGGGTAAGATGACTAACAAAATATATCTGCCTACCTCAGAAACATAGAATAAGATAAGAGCCATTCGGCCCATCTAGTAGAGTAGTGTGACGGCAGTTGAGAGCCATTCGAACCATCATAGATTAGAAGTTAACTGCTTATATCCCCTATATATCATAGTGCTGCAGACTATGTTAGTACTACATAAATAATAATAATTTAGTTTTACCAATGCCATTGTTTAAATGACAGCACCAATTGCACCCATTTTTTAAAATGTATATTTTAAATATCATTGAGTAATTTAGAGTATAATTTTTGCCAGGTAAGGTTCTATGAATAAATAAAAGGCTTGGCTAAATCTTTGCTGTTCTGACACCTTACCTACAGCGTTACAATCACATCCTTCAGTGTGACATTACCATTCAATATTACATTACTCTACAACAGGGGTTTCCAATTAATTTTTCTCATGTAACCGTTTGACATAGTGTATCAACATCGTGGAACACCCCTTTTGGGAAAAAAAAATGTACACAATTTTTTGTATGTGCTGGTGTGTGTCTGTGTGTCAAGCTGTGTGCATCTGTCTTTGTATGTGCCAGAGTGTGCATCTGTGTGTGTGTGTGTGTATGTATCTGACACACAGATACACAAACACTGTCACATAGCGGCACACAGATAAACACACTAACACACATATACACACACCTTGACACACAGTGTGTGTCTGTGTGTCTGTGTGTCAAGGTGTATGTATCTGTGTGTCAAAGTGTATGTATCTGTGTGTCAAAGTGTGTGTGTATCTGTGTTTGTATGTGCCAGTGTGCGTATCTGTGTTTGTATGTGCCAGTGCGTGTATCTGTGTGTCAGTGTGTATGAATAGGACACACAGACACACACACACTGGTACATAGTAGCACACAGATACACACACCTTTACACACATTGTGTATGTGTGTATGTGTGTGTGTGCGCGCATGTATCTGTGTGTCAAGGTGTGTATCTATGTGTCAAAGTGTGTATATCTGTGTTTGTATGTGCCAGCGTGTGTCAAGGTGTGTGTATCTGTGTTTGTATGTTCCAGTGTGTGTATCTGTGTGTCAGTGTGTGTGTATATGTATCTGACACACAGATACATACACTGACATACAGACACACACACTGGAACATACAAACACAGATACACACACCTTGACACACAGAAAAACACACTCAGATACACATACACACACTCAGATAAACACAGTGACACACACATCTTGACTCACAAATACACACATACACACTTGCACCCACAGATACACACACTGGCACATACTCACACTCAGATACACACATTGACACATACATAAAGTGTCACATATACCCACTCAGATACACACACACTGACATACACACACACATAAGCACATACAAATATACTGATTGTGACAAACCCCCCTTTTCAAGTGAGTTTGCCACGAGTTGCTGGAGGAGCCTGCTTGCCAGCCTCCTGCCCACAGACTATGGACCTTGTAAAATGTGATATAAAAGTCTCTGTTCGTGTATTTGGACTATATGGTTCAGGAACCGAACAGCCGCATGAACCAGAGACCACCCTGGAGCTTGTTAAGCCTAATTGCTACTTTTAACAATTTCCACCTCACTTTTCTAAGTGTTTGTCTGGGTGGCCGCAATTCCTATGGACGAGCTTGAGGTGGCGGCCATCTTGTTCGCATGAACGTAGGCAGCGGTGTTTAGGCATGAATCTCAGGGCTACTCTTTAATCACTGTTCCAGTATGGAGGATTCAATGGGGAAATTCCTTGAAAGGACTAGAGTTCCCAGGACTGAGTGTCGTCCAGTGCCTGGGGGTGTCTAGAGCGAATTCCCCATTCGGCTCCAGGAGAGAGCGGTTCCAGTGCCCCAGTAAAGCCATGGTGACTGTGGGCAGAAGTGCTGCAGTTTGTCCCCTGTTCCAGCTAGGAAGCGGTCTTTGGCGGAGGTACCCAGCTGGGGTACAGGGAGCTCCGTTACACTGATACACACTGGCACATACACACACACATACAGACACCAATACACACATACTGACATACACACACGTACTCAGATACACACAGTGACACATATACAAACCTTGACACACAGATACACACACTGACACACACTCAGACACACATGCTCTTTGGCAGACACATACACTCTCACTGACAAACACATACACACTCACACACTCACTGACAAGCACACATACACTGTCACTGACAAACACACATACACACACACAATTTATTTTTATTTTTTAAGTTTCACTCCACCTAGCCTCCCTACCTTTGGGAGTGCTGGCATGGACTCTATTTCCCTGGGGTCCAGTGGGGCTGCGGGGCTGAGCAGCTGGCGTGCAGTCCCTGGGGTCCAGTGGGGTTGCTGGGCTGAGCGTCTGGTGTGCCGTCCCTGGGGTCCAGTGGGGCTGCTGTGCTGAGCAGCTGAGTGGCTGGCGTGCGGGCGTACAGTGTGGGCAGCGAGGGAGCAGTGATCTTCCTGCTCAGCTCCCTTGCGCACCTCTTAGTGATGCCGGAGTGACGTCATATTCCAGCTCCGGCACCACTGCTATGTGCGCCTCGATAATGGCCGCCACAATAAATGAGGCGGGCGGCGCGGGAGCACTCTCAGCTGCTCAGCTCCTTCACCGTCCGCCACAATTATCGCAGTAACCATTTTGTTTCCCAAAATTTTCATGGAACTCCATTTGTGTTTTCGCGGAACCCCTATTGGGAAATGCTGCTCTACAGTATTACACTACCCTTCAGTATTAAAATTTCACTCTACAAAATTTTCATGTCACCATGTTGCAACCTTTCACAAGAGTGTTAAAATTTCACCCTTCAGAGTTACCGTCAGAATTATTACAAAACACATTAATTTCTCTCAAAGCTTACCTTCTGCTCTCTAAATGAATGAAGACTAAACTGTGATCAATTGACTGAATTTATCTGCTTCAATCAAACGTTTGCTCTGTGAAATCCATCTGGCTATTCACAAAAAACAAACTGCGTTATATGAGCTGTCTTTGAGTCCCATTTGGCTTTTGTTCAGTTAGGTGTTAAACTCAGCAGAATATCTCTCTCTCTATATATATTTTACAAGCATCCAAACTGCAACTGAATCCCTATTATTTGTTTGATCTAAATACCTTCATACAGACCAGAATTGAAACTGTAACCCTAAGCCCTCCCTAAACCAAAGTCACACTAACGATACTCCAACCTCTCTTACCTTATAATGATAACCCAGCCCTATATTCCTTTCATCCCTGCTTTTAGTTTAATGGTGTTTTTATTGGAGAATTTAACCAATAAATAATAATAAAGAACAAAAAATACATGACCAGATGCATTTTATTAGATGTGCAATAAATATTAAAAAAATTGGATTTTATAATATCCTATTCCCATCATAAAACTGATTTATTGCATGCATTACGTAACTGTTACCTGCAAATGATCTTATTTTCCCTATAGAGACCTGTGGGAAGTGTGATAATTTGTGCTGACATTGGTGGTTGGTTGGTCAGGAAGGTAATTTTTAGCTGGTAGGTACACACATACATATATTTATTTATTTATTTATGTTTTTCTTTTATTTTTAGTTTACGCCTTTAGTCATTTTCTATAAAATACATACATTTTCTTGAAAAACATACATATAACGTACATAATAATTCTCAACATACATAATATTCACATACACACATAGCCAGTTGTGCAAAAGTGCAATTAGTATTTAAAATGATTACCATTTAAAGACATTTTTTTAAACACAAAGCATACTATGAAGATATATAAAAGGTTATATATACAAAAAATAAATAAATAAATTAAAAAAAACAATTAATACACATATATTTATATAAACTAGTTAGGAAATATTCACCACAAACTTACGAAGAGGGCATTTTGTTCTGATGAGGTAGATGGTATTGTAGTTAAGGTAAATAGGGAAACCCATGGGTAAGGATGAAGAGGGGCTCTATTGTGGAGTGGGGGCACAGGAAGGAGGGTTGTGTGGAAAGATGATAGTGTGGATAGGTCCAGGCGCATAGCTAGAAACCAAGGGGCCCCATTGCAAAAATAAATTAAGAGTCCTCCTCATTGCTCATGGTAAGCAATACACCCGAGTGTGATTGTGTGGGTGTTAAATGGGTGTGATTATGGTGGTTGGCTGAGTTTTCTTGGGTGTGACAGACTGAATGTAATTGGGTACAAGAACTGGCTGAGTGTGTCTGTGTGTTGGATTGGCTGAGTGTGTTTGTTTGTGGGGGTTATGTGTGTAATATTTATCTTAATATATGAAAAATAATATGTTTTTTTTGCCCCCCTCCTACTTACCTTTCTGCATGCGGGGGAGTATTTCCCTATTAGTCACCTGGTGCTGCTGATCCTTGGTGGTCTAGTGAGAGTATGGTGTGCATCTGAGGTGGTGAAGACAACATTCAATTCTCTCTTGGTCTGATGCTCACTGAATGAGCCAGAGAGTTGCCACAGTAACCCAGCGGTAGTGCTCTGACTGATTCCCCGGTGGTAATTTGTTATTGACTATATTTATGAAATGGCAATATAAAAAATAACGGTAATGCAAATGGGCTACCGGTCTGGCTTAGTCCCCCTCCCCCCGCGAGCAGAACTCCAGGACCCAGTTGCAATAGCAACCGTTGCAACTATGTTAGTTCTGCCACTAGATAGGAGGGAGGGAAGGAAGGAACGATGGCAGGGAGGGGGTAGTAGGATACGCACATGAAACGGGGAAATTTGGGGCATATAAAGCAGATAATGGCCTACCCAAGAGAGCTCAGAGAAGGGAGAGTGGTTCAGCCTGTGTGTGGTGGATGAGGGCAGTTGTAGGTTGCAGATACAGAATAAGCAGGTCCTTAGATTGAGGAGATGGCAACTGGTAACTGACCCTTCCTGCACGATGGGCAAAGACATAATGATAATTATATTCCACGGGAGCTTTTAATAGTAACGTCAGCTGATAAATCTGTTTATAATGGTAGGATTGTGCAGTTGTTAAACAGCTGATACTCATAAAGTGTAGTGACTGTCACTTTAGCAACTAGTGGGTGGCCAGTAAAACTTAACAGACGGGTTGCAAATAAGCATTTTCCACTTCCACCCATGGCAACATTGGGTCAATGTTAAATATTAATATCAAATGAAGTATACTTCATGTTTTGCAAAATCTGCCTTGCGTGTCATAGGATGGGGTTACGGTATGAACAAATATTGCATAAAGCAATAAAAATGGTTAATGACAATTTTATCTCTTCTAATAGAACTGAGGTCTAAATAGGCAACTTTGAGTTCTAATTATGAGGCAAAAATCTCAAAGATGACAAGTTCATATTGGCCATAACCCCTTAAGGGGCAATGACATCTATGCCATCATAACAATCTGGTCTTTAAGAACGCAATTACATTTAATTACAACTGTATGGAGCTCCTAAATAAAATAAGCAAGACAAACTCTATTAGCATAAATTCTTTAGGGACCATGTTTTGATCCTGGAAAAAACTTGCAAATGTTCCTTAAGGAATTAATTATAAAGCCTAAAATGCTGGGTCATGTAGTGTAACCTGCAAACTAAACTGTAGTCAGAACAGTTAATTGCTGAATAATCTAAATTAATTCAAAATAAAATAGAGTTCAGGTGTACATAATGCAAATTATATCTGGGTCACCATGTACATAATGTAAGGTTGTTTGTAAGGCACTTTTTGTAAAGTAATTAGCTAGGAAATCACTGTTCATTGGTCTGTCAAAAATAACTGAGCTTAATTAGACACTTCTTCAATAAACTGACTAGTTTGAGAGACTGTACGCTATAGTATGAGCTGTGTATACTACAGTCTGTTATGGGCTGTTGGTTCTAGCTGCACAAAGTATTTTTCTTTGTTCGAATGGATTGCTATAGCATGTGTGATAATTCCTTTAAAATGACATATAATATCTGGAAATTGAAGCTAAGTTAAAGCACTCTGATCTGTAGAGAACAAGAATGGTTACACTCTTCGAAAAGGTACGTTCATATGTATTCAATTTGTTCAATGCCTAGCATTCAGTCAAATCAATTAATGACAGCCCTATGTAATGCATAACCTCATTATCTGTAATGTATAGACAAAATTGACCCTTTCAGTGTAAGATGCAGGCGAGCTTGAAGAAATCTGTTAACAAAATATCAGTGGGTTGATTTGCAAGTCACAGAGCAATGCATATACTTCAGACAAATGTCTACAAATTTAAAGAGATAAACTGTGCAAATGCAAAGAGATCTTTCCAAACAGCTGCATTTGTAAGTGGAAATGAAATTTACATTTTAAAATACACGACTCTTTCAAATACTTTTAATAAGGAATTTCAAATTGTTGTTTATCATAATGGAAAAGCAATATAGAATGTTATTGTTATCACTGGGTTGATATCTTTAATAATTATGATGAATTATATTATTTTGAACATAGAAGTAACTGTATTGAAATTTATAAAGTTATATCTTAATTCCATTAAATCACTTTAAATCATGATTGTCCTGATACGTTATCTATAAAGACCAGACGTATTTGGGCTTTTTTGTTAGGGGGTCAATCCGTTGACCCCAATTTTTCATCTGACTTTTAAAGATAAGTGAGTGGAACAAATTATTATAGGTTTGTAGATGGCTTGTGAAGTCTATCCATAATCACACAACTTTCATAACATATTACGAAAACCTTTTATAACTTAATCTGACTTGAAAAAGGTGATTTAAGTCTGAAGTTATTTTCGTACAATCATGATAGGCCTTTTGATGCATGAGGCTGATATTTGAAGCTCCTCTAAATATAACTTCTCCGGCAGTAGAAAAGCAGTATGTATGATTGTTATCAGGAAAATCAGCTTTCAGTGGAAAACATAGATTGTAGGCTTGTTTGAACAGGGAGCTCTTTACCTCTAATACTCCTTTTCTATAATAGTAAAGCGCTCTGGAATATGTTGGCGCTATATAAATGATGATAATAATAATATGAGTTACTGATTGCGTTTATTCATGGGTTTGCACAAAGAAAAAAGTTTTAATTAAAAAAATTTATACTTTTAAATATAAAAAACAAACATAAATATAATTAAGACCATATGTGTATCAGTGTGTGACCCCTCCTGAGACAACAGGGAGAGCGCACCTATACCATAGAGTCTTAAATACCGCCAAAGAGACTCCAGGTGTCTCCACGGGGCCTAACCCCAAATAGAAAATGCCACAAAAGAATATAACAAATGCAGGCAGGCTTAGGATGTCTAACCAATCCCAGTCTGACTGCGTTGCCTGGAAATATAATATAGCAATGTAGCATGCGAAGATATTAACTAGGGAATGTATCCAATCTAAACCATCTAATAAAAAATACTAATAATCCTATGCTCACTAAAAGGGAATTGCACCAAAATCACAGCCAAGACCTGGCAATGCATCATATAGATTTATAGAGGAAACTCAACTCCTATATATCAGCTTAATAGAATACATATGCTAAATAGGAAAGAGTGTACCTATATCTGTCTAATTGCCAGTGACTATCTTCTAAAGTGCAAAACCCCACAAATGCCTTGTATCCATATATGTATATTGTAAACAACCATAGAGTGAGTGTCTGCTGATAATATATGCCCTTGCAAAATTAGTTTGTATTGAATCCAGCCATATGTAGACCAAAGTTTTTTAAAAAGCAGCAGACCTTACCAATATACAGGAAAAAGTCTATAATAGTCAATAATAGAGAGAGATTTAGATATAGATATCGAATAGAGAAAAGTATGTATAAACTAATGGTCAGTCAAAAGCAAACTGACATATATATTTAAATTATCAAAGCCTCTCTCCCTGGTAAACTAGCTAGACAGGCATAGGAATATTTAGAAGATAGAGCAAGAAAAAAGTATTAAGTGCAATTCATAGTGCTAAAGTGCCATTCAGTGCCCAGTGTAGAGATTGGCAAAACGCCCAACGCGCGTTTCGGTGCTTAGAGAGTGCACCTTCGTCAGGGGCCAACTTACTATTCGTAATGGTGTCTCTTAAATACCTTAATTGCCCAGGTGTTCCTCCTCCCATCAGCCAATCTGTATACAGAAAATATGTTCCCCACGTGTGTATGACTACCTACTCATACTTCCGTGTTGCGTCTACCGCCCACGTGGTGTCAAAGGGGCGGAGCCAACACGTCATCCGTCCTACTCCAGGACGAACACATTGATCCCGGGTACGCCCCTACATGTCATCATGTAGGCGTGTCAATGCCTGACATCCTAGGTGTCCGAGAGCTGTCTATCACTCATGTGGGCGTGTTCGAGATGTAGCATGCTTACATGATGTAAATACAAGCCTCTATGAACCGTCTTGTCAGCCGGTCTATATTGGAGTGTCCACAATATGTAACATTATCCATATGGGAACCCTATTGTATTATCACATATAAATAGACCTATAGATATGTCCAGATAATTCTGCATTAATATATTGATCTCATATTGAAAGTGCCAAAGAGAGGGGGTCATATAGATCATATCTAATAATGTTACCCAAGGCTAGATCCTTAACTTTATTACTAATTCCTCAGGTTACAGAGCTGGAGAACATAATTATTATCTTCATGGCTGTCTGTAGGTGGAAATTAAAATGCATAAAACCCTATATATATACTAGTCTAAGTAATGGCTATATTAAGCCCACAGCTACATCTACTATTTACAACAATTACAAGTGCCACTACCAAGGTATAAATCATTACAACCTGTCAGACAATACTTATATACATAATATAGAGTGGTATAGAGAGATACCAGGTGTGTCTATACAGACCAAAACTGAATTATACAGTTTAAATCTTATATAAAAGGTGCATATGAAAATCCCTCATTCAGACCAAGGGGAGAGAGCGTTTTCAATTTATAGATCCAAAAGCTCTCTCTTTGGAGTAGTCTTTTGTCCAAATCCCCTCCCCTTGGTCCAAGTATAACTTTTTCGATGCCACAAAATCTGATACCCTCTGCTGAACCTCCATGATGTAGTTTGAGATGTTTAGAGACTGGAGTGTCGACCAATCTTTTCGGATTCACCGAATTTGCATGTTCCCCAATCCTCAGTTTAAATTTTCGTGAAGTCTTGCCCACATATAATTTCTTACAGGAGCATGATAGTAAGTACACAATTCCCACAGTTTGACAATTGAAGAAATTCTTAACTAGAAATTCTTGTTGTCCTAAAGAGTCTTGGAATTTTTTTGATGGTCTGCGTATAAATTTACACGCCTTGCATTTGCCACATTGGTAAGTACCTAAAACCGTGGATTTTAACCATGTATTTTTTTGAGGTGTATTTTTCAGATGACTAGGGACCAAAATGTCCTTAATATTGCGGCCCCTTCTAGCTGTCACTGATGCTCTTGGGGTAATGACTTTTTTTAGGTGTATATCTTGATGTAGGAGGGGCCAAAATCTATCCAAAATATTCATGATCTGGTTCCAACCTGCATCAAAATTCCCTATACACCTAATTATCTCTTGTGTTGATTTAGGGATGCTTTTGTCCTTTAACAGTTCCGACCGCTCTTCACATAGTGCGCGTTTATATGCATATTTTAAACACCTATTCGGATAGCCCTTCTGTTTGAATTGATGTTGCAAAGCTCTAGCCTTTATTTTAAAGTCTTCAATATTTGAGCAATTTCTTCTAAGACGCAGGTATTGCCCAATTGGAATCCCTCTTTTTAGTGAGGGAGGGTGATAGCTCGTCCAATTTAAAAGGTTATTCGTTGCAGTCAGTTTACGAAAGAGTGTAGATATAAGATCTCCTTCATCTGTTAAAGAGATAGTAATGTCAAGGA